GGTCTGCAAACTAAATTTCTTAGCCTGGATATGGTTTAATACTAGCATTTACAGTATTCACTTCTAAGAATAAGACGACTACATGAGTCGATGTTTAGAATTTTTCAACCGCTTTTTGAATCTTCTCCTTCCATGATACGCAGCTACAATTATTCCTAACACTTTTTGTGCCAAAACTATTTAAATTTCTTCTTACTTATTTAATCTTATACTAAGGAAAATTGCGTTTTTCAGTTAAAGAATTTCATAGTTCTAAGAGCTGGTCTAAACTAGAATCGAATTAAGAGTTTCATTTAATGAAAATGATGAAGCATTAAGTTCTGTCCACTCGTAAAAGTAGCATGTGAATAAAGGTCATCAAACCGTAAGATTAGTAGAAGATTTTAAGCTAATTATGAGAAGTTCTCATTCGTACGTATTTAAAATTGAAGAGACCTTACATATCAGTAAGTATTCAAAATAATCGATACTTTTCATATATACGTAGTTACAACTTCATTCCAAAAACATTCAAATATGTCTACATAAATTCCTTAATTTCAACATCTACTTGATTGACTACATGTGTGAAAGTGTTTGATTTCGGAACTCAGACCCACATTCAGGTGTCAAAGACTTTCATAAAAACGATCTTAAAATTGATTCATGAGTGCTCTTAGTTGAGAATTGACATAGTATAATCTATTGCTCCCATGAAAACAAGTCGGATCACAAACTACGACGTATACAATGAATTAATCCTAATTTGTAAATTTTGTAATAATTAAAAGTCTGAAACATCATTTCATCTGGTTTGGCCTGCAAGTCAGGCTGAGCTGCAGGCTGACTTTCGAAATTTGGCCTGGCCTGTCACGCAGATCATGCTAGCCAGGTCAGACTAAAAAAGGTGGCCTGTCCGCAACTCTGGTGCATTTCTAATCCGAGTGATTCCACAATGATTCTGAATGATTCCAAGTGATCCCAGGTGATTCCATGTGATTCTGTCGGCTGGAATCAGCTACTTCCCCGAGCATCTAATAATAATCGATTTTATTTGTGTAATTATATAGGTTATTTCCTGTTTCTACGTCTGATTTTCACTAATCCCATTGACTGATTCCTCTGATTGATTCCAAAAGATTCCGTTGATTCCAAGGGATTCCATTGATTCCATGGGATTCCAAGGGATTCCATTGATTCCATGGGATTCCACTGATTCTAAGGGATTCCATTGATTCCAATGGCACAGAATCAGTTGTTTCCCCCCTGATTTTGACACTATTCGAAATCATATATATATAGAAAAGAGAAGAGTAATTGTGCAAATCCAGAAAAGTTAATTGATGAGACTTTTTTCAAGATGCCACACTTTATGCAATCTTTGTCACTTGCGCTCCATGACATGATCGGTATACTATAGATGTTACTCGTAGCATCGATTACAGTTCTCTGAGTCATTGTGTATTGGCATTTTAAAAACTAACTGAGTAATAATTTCTATGGATACAGTAGTTCAAAATAAGCCGTCTTCGATGATCTTGCACACTTTTTGCACGTTCAAATCATATTGTACGTGGCTACTAATGAATTAATATCTGAGAGCAGATGTTCCCAACAGCAATACTCAATGAAGACGAGAAGTGATAATGAATCGAGCTGCTTTTTCATGACACTTGATAAATGTTTTGGATATCAGTTGAAAAATGACGGCTACCCAGAACTTTTTTTTCCACTTTTGAAGATGATCGTCTCCGATCTCTCGATGTACCAATTGATATGACCTACACTTTTCTAGCTAACTGTTGTCATTGATGTCTATTCATAGACATCATTACAACTAAAAATTCGACCATTCAATTTTTTACTGCTATCTTAATGTCATTGAGACAGTATCCAAAATAATCGTTACTTAAGAAGAGACGTGAAGAAACACAAATCTTCTTAGACCATTTTATCTTAGTGAGATATAGTTTTGTCGAAATAATATCAGTTCACAATCTTCTGACGTTGAACAAATGTATTTCGTCCAAACAGGTAAAAACATACACACAACTGGAAATGACTGGCATGGAAAATATTCATACTCCGCTTTAATATATTTTTTCTCCAAAACTAATTCAAAAGAAAAAGATGAGTTTGGGGTGTGACGCATTTCGATGACTTGTTTTTCTAAACGTTGAAAAGAGAACCAAATAACTTCGATGTGCCTTTTACATGTAGAAACTTTAGGATATTTTTACTTGTTCAACTTACAATCCTAAAAATGGTGATTGTGGTGCCTTGATCAAGGTTCGACGGGTCTGAAGTTGTCCTACCGACTGTTGTAAAAAATATGACTAGAAAACATGTTTAAGATCTTACATCTGAAGGTATCCATGCCAGAGAATTGAAAACAGAAAAAATAATGTACATTAGTTTTTACAGATATTCAACAAATAATAAATAGATGTTTGCTAGTCAAATAAAAATTTGAAACAGTGGCTTTGATAATCGTTTTAATATACTGCAGTACTCGCACAAGTGTTCTGATTGGGTATAATTTTATCGTCAAAAAACGTGTGCAGTCCGCTCAACATATTAAGCACACTTATTTTATGATTGAGAAAATGTTGAGATTGCACAGTAAAGGTATACGCTTATACGTATATCGACTGAATGGATTACGCAAAACTAATGCATCAACAGTTTTCTATAGAAACTTCCCATAGTTAGAGATAGACTGATATGCGCATATTAATTTTGTGTTGTTTCTTTACGACTGCCTTCTCGTAGATTGAAATGGCTCCTATGGATGAAAACGCAAAATCGGTCGATTGCTCGCTTCCTAAGGAAGATGTTTTCGTTGGTGCAAACGAAGAAGTAAATCCAATTTCAAATGCGCAAAATGCAAGAAACGTTCAGAGCAACACCATTGATCGAATAGAAAATTACACGATTCAACAGACTATGTATGACTTTTTCTTTTGATGTTAAATATGGTCGTTGTTGCTCTTTTCTAGGAAGTCTTGTTGCTGGTCAATACTGGATTCAAGTACTAAACCTGGTTTTGTATTACCTATGATCACAAGTATAGCTATGACTATTGGGATACTGGTAGTTTGTTTTACTGCACCAAAATCACCAGGTATGTCGTTGTTACTTTGCATCCTTCATATTCAATACGATAAAAATCCATAGTTAATTCGATTCTGTTGTACTAGTATTGTGAGTTTTGGTTAAAAAAATTCAAATTGTGATAAAATATTTCATATCGGCATGTTCGAAACAAATCAATAAGCGAAAACAGATTAAAAGCATCACAACTGCTTCACTCTTTCATTTCAAATTAGCAGCGACGAATGCGAGCCAATCAAGATGATTATCACTAGTAGATCTAATACTTTATTCATAAGTCGAACCCTTTTGTTTAACTTATTGCCAGGAATTATAGATTACAAAAGCATTCCAGAAAAAAACCATCCCATTGCCGCTTTGTTCTAGAGGAAGAAGGATAATACGTTTTTCTAAGGCGGAGATTATTGCATTTTCTATATATACATTTTTTCATATCTCAATAAAGCAACAATTTCATGGTCTGATTTTTTTACAAACTGATATTACACATTGTTACTTTTTGCAGAAAGATCAACTTTATCTTATTCAATGTTCGTAAATCACTACTTCTATAATTTTTGATGATACTCTTCCACATCTCTGAGTGAAAACAGCAGCTTATCCTGAATTTCTTGCTCTCTATCCCATCGATATTTTCTTGGATATAATAGAAATACGAAAGAATAAGAGAAAATACAAGTGATTTTCTCATAGAATGTGACGAAAGTAAATATTTCTTCTCTACGGTACATCATCTTCTTTACATTTTCTTACTTTATGTTACCTGAAGAGAAGAGTAAGCAGTATATGTATTCCATCTATATCTTCTTTCGTTCTGCTAGTATGTTCTGATACACTCGTTTTCTTTTGGTCTTTCTCTATTACTCATGTGTGTTCTCTCTCGTATTCTTCAGTGAGTTCTCTCTCATATTCTCCAGTGAGTTCTCATTTCATTATTACATTCTAGTGAATTCTTGTCGTTATCACTGTTTGCAACGATAAAACTTTGTATATACGCCATCAAATAATACTTCTATCTAACTAACAGCTTGTTAGTGGTCGATTATGTTCACAAAGTGAACAGATAATATAATACATTTCTATTTTGCCATCTTTTACATGTATCGATCATAAGAATAAGTAATCCTTTCAACACCTTATAAGTATTATTAAATCTGACATCAGACAAATTATTCTGGAAGTAAACTTGGATGTAGTAGAATATCTGTAACTAAAAACTGAGAAGAATATTTATTACTATTTATTATCAAACAGATCGATAGAAGTCATTTATTCCTTACTGTACAGAAAAGAGTAGAGATATATAGTTGCACACTTGTCACTCAAAAACTATCGATGAACATGCGTTGTCCATATGACGGAACTACTGGCAAATACATTGACTATGATAGGTCGTATTCATGCGTGATTATTCAGCCAGTAGCTTTACATTCCCTTCTTTATCGTCAGAATTTTGTCCATTATTATTCTCAAGCATTCGTAGCAGAATTCGTTATATTTTGCCTGTTGTTGTAATTACCAATCCAAAATACTGATTGAATCACTGAAAGCATTACGAAACACAACTGTTTTGATGCACATTTGATTTTGTAACAATGTGACACAACACATATTTCGAACGAACTCTACCGTAAATGAAAAGATGGGAACAGACAAATTGTCCGGTTGATGAATTCCCATATGTAACTCTGTCTGTATTTTAAGAAACTAAGCAGAGTTTTTTTGAAAGATGATGGTTTTGAATTGACTCCAAATAGAGTCATACGATAATTTCTGACAGCATATTATAGGAATCGTGATAATTCGAAATAATCTAGGAAAGATAGTTTCATTACGGCAAACAATCAATCATCGTATTGCCTTTGATGTTTCGTTTAGTTCCAAAGTGCGGCCTCAATTTCAAACCAATGGCTCAAAAACCAGTTGAATATAAGTATGGTCCACGATCTGTCGCCATCGGTGATTTCGACAATAACACGGCTTTGGATATGGTTATTGCCAATCATATAATGAACAAAATAGCTGTCTATTTGGGACGTGGTGATGGTACTTTTAAAGATCCAACCATGTACTCAACAGGTTCCTACTCTAGTCCTTATATGGTCACAGTTGGTGATTTCAACAATGACAACCGATTGGATATTGCCGTAGCGAATTTCGGCACTAACAATATAGGCATCTTTCATGGATTTGGGAATGGATCTTTCTTAAGTCAAATAGAGTTTTCAACAGGCTCATCTCGTCCGATAGCAATTACTGCCTTTGATTTCAATAATGACTCACTACTTGATATTGCCACCGCCAATTACGGAACTCACAGTATTAGTATATTCTATGCCTATGACCAGGGAAATTTTTCGTCTCCAATAACGTATTCAACAGATTATGATTCTCTTCCATCTTCATTAGCTGCTGGAGATTTCAATAATGACAACTATTTAGACCTCGCCATTGCCAATTATGGCACGAACAATGTTGGCATACTTTTTGGAAATAGCAACAGAACTTTTGAAAAACAAATCACGTTTTCAACTGGCGTTGGTTCTCATCCGTCCTCAATCGCCGTCGGCCACTTAAATGCCGACAACTTTCTTGACATAGCTATCGCAAACTCTGGAACTCGCCAAATAGGTGTATTTATAAACAACGGCAGTGGAACTTTCGCTAATCAAGCCATCTATTCCATCGGTTCTGCTTCTCCATATGCAATTGCCGTCGTAGACTTCAACCAAGATAATCGATTAGACATCGTCATAACTAATAATGGCAATGAGAATATAGGTGTCCTTCTTGGATATGGAAACGGCAATTTTGCAAAGCCATTTATGTATTCAACTGGATCTTATTCTTCGATTTCCGTTGCCATATGTGATCTTAATAAGGACCATCGATTAGACATTGTCATCGTGAACAATGACACTGGTAGCATAGATATTCTCCTTGGTTATTTTGAGAGTTTCTTAAATCAAAAAAACTATCCAACTGGCTCTTCTCTACGATCTGTGGCTGTTGGTGATTTCAACAACGACACTCGACTAGATATCGTTGTCACCAATTATGGTAGCAATAATGTGAGTGTCCTTCTTGGAGATGGGAATGGTTCTTTTGCAATTGCAACAAACTATTCTTTGGGCTCTTCTCTATCATCTGTAGCTGTTGGTGATTTCAACAATGACACTCGACTAGATATCGTTGTCACCAATTCGGGCAGCGCTGATGTGAGTGTCCTTCTTGGAGATGGGAATGGTTCTTTTGCAACTGCAACAAACTATTCAGTTGGCTCTTCTCCATCATCTGTAGTTGTTGGTGATTTCAACAACGACACTCGACTAGATATAATTGTCGCCAATTGGGATAGCAATGATGTGAGTGTTCTTCTTGGATATGGGAATGGCTCTTTTGCAACTGCAACAAACTATTCAGTTGGCTATTCTCCATCATCTGTAGCTGTTGGTGATTTCAACAACGATACTCGACTAGATATTGTTGTCGCTAGTTCGGGTGGCAATGCTGTGAGTGTCCTTCTTGGATATGGAAATGGTTCTTTTGCAAAAGAAACAAGATATTCAGTTGGCTCTTATCCGCTATCTGTGGCTGTTGGTGATTTCAACAACGACACTCGACTAGATATCGTTGTCGCTAATTCGGGTGACTGGTCTGTGAGTGTCCTTGTTGGATATGGAAACGGTCTTTTTGCAAGACAAACAAGATATTCAATTGGCTCCTATCTACAATCTATAGCTGTTGGTGATTTCAACAACGATACTCGACTAGATGTCGTTGTCGCCAATTCGGATAGCAATGCTGTGAGTGTTCTTCTTGGATATGGGAACGGTTTTTTTACACATCTAATAAGATATTCAGTTGGCTCTTGGCCATATTCTGTAGCTGTTGGTGATTTCAACCACGATACTCGACTAGATATCGTTGTCGCCAATCTGGATAGCAAGGATGTGTGTGTCCTGCTGCAATATGACAGAGGAGCGATAGTACACGAAATGGCCTATGCACCTGGCGGTGGAGCTAGCCTACAATATGTAGTGATTGGTGATATGAATAACGACACTAATTTGGATATCGCCTTGGCTAATTACGGTACTAATAATGTAGGCGTCCTTTTTGGATATGGAAATGGCAATTTCGAAAATCAAATGATGCTTAGTACTGGCTCAAATTCTCATCCGA